TTAACCCTTTTCAGTCCAGTGATTAAGTGGCTAAATGTATTTTTAACAGTAAGTAATGTTGAATAATGAAAAAAAAAACAGGTAAGATGTTTTTTATGATTAAAGAAGTGCTTTTATAAAGATTTGAATAAAACAAAAATATTTTTTTTGAAAATAAATTTGTGCTGTAAAGGTTTAAATCAAGAAAAAGAATGGCCATTCTCTACAATAATAGATTTTTAAACTCATTTTAAGTATAAATATTTGCATTCATTTGAAATTTGGAATATTCACAGATAATTTTTGACTAAATTTGTATGTGGAATATAATTTAACAGTTAATGTTTTTAAATATTATTCACCTTTTGTTTCCCATCATTCAATGTTTAGTTTAATGACATCTGTCAAATCCTAAAAATCAGTTATACAGTTTGATAGGTTAAGTTTTTTTATCATCATTTTCGTTTGTTGAGTCAATTGACATGTGATGAATTATTATGTAGGTAGTTATTTTTTTTGCTAATTTGTGCTAGTTACAATGTTTGAAGTTTAGGTTTAAAAATAAAATGACTATTTTATTTAATTGATTTATATAACCTAATTTTATTGACACTTTACGTCAGTGTTAATAATGTGACTGACATTTAAAAAAAACAGTTAAGGTTAATACTGATTATTATTTATATTATTACATAACATGTATTACATAATCTTATGTTGAAATGAACTTGCAATTTGAGATTTGTGAAATTACAGAATGATTTGTTTACGAACAACAAACAAACAAACAATTTGACTTGATATTTGCTGATAGAAAATGTCCGAAGATGTCTACGTGCATTTGCATTTGATAGAACGCGGCATGAAACTAAACAAAATAATATAGGACGAAGATTCTTCCGCGAATCAAATCAAATAGAGAAAACTAGTGCAAATAAATAAAGCAATACGTATTATAATAATCAAATAATATAATAGTTATTTTACTGTCACTTGCTGAAAAAGTTAGTATTATTAATTTGTTGAATGATTTCAGCTGACGTTTGTTATGGATAACTATGTTTTATTTTATAATTTCTATTTGTTGTTTTTGTTATAAGTGGATGTCAATTGATAGATTGGTAACTATGGTTACTCTCATATATAAACACGTAATTGATTGTTAAATGTTTTAGGGGATGTTGAAAAAAAAAGTCTAATTGATTCGATGTCACTACATATTGCGTAATACAATTATGGACTCAATCATCGGAATAATGGCAGACAATCGCTCCAATGGTTTACGTAATCCGGGTTTAGATTTGTTTTGTTGCGGACGGTTGCATTAAAAAGAAACAAGAATAAACATTGAATTGCATGCACAAATCGATGCGATAATTGTATTCATCCAATTGGCTGCACTCTGCGCTGTATTAGCATTAGTATTGGGTCATATTAAGCTTTGTTTTGTATGCTTTCAATCTGCAAAACACGATGGAAATTAAACAATCTAACAGACGTTCTATATTAAGATATTCGTCTTACTATAAATAAGATATAAACGCAGTATTTCTATTGAGCAGCATTAATTACGAATACAAATAGTAATCATGCACAATTAGTGCACTATATTTAGACAGAGAGATTGCACAATATATGATATACAAAACAAAACCTATTGAAAGATTTAATTGGCAAAATTTCGGTTTTCACAATTTGATAGCATTATGTTAATTTTGAATGACATCTGTCAATGTCATTTTGTCATTTGAAAGATGTCACTTTTAGAAACCAATTGCACGTAATATTGTTTGCAGTTGTTACTTTTAACCAGAGTAAAAAAACAAATATTTTGGTTCACAAAGTTTATGATTATTAAACAGAATACATGTGTCACAATTGGTTTAAAAGAAATCTGTTTTCTACTGAAGTTTATGATGACCAAATCAAAGTCATAATTGAATCGTATAAATGTGTAAGAGATTGCAGAGAAGTTAAATGATAAGTGAAAATCACTTCAATGTCTTGGATTCGTTAGGAAGCTCGATATTCTTGAATTATTTATATCTTCACATAAATGCTAATAATTACGAGTTTTGCGACTACGCAGACTACGTAGTAGTGAAAACGTCAGTTCATCAACATTCGAATTCTGCGTATACACGTAAATTATGTGTAATGGGGGGCTAATTGGTCTAATTTGTTTTGGTTTCTATCCGCGACCTGGGCTACGGAGACTTAGATGATGTCCACAAATCAATTTTAATCTGTTCGTCGAAGGGCATCCCTCACGATAAAGATGAGTTTGCAAAAAGAAAAAAAAATGAAGAAAATACGAGAAGGATTGGGGATGGTTAGCAACTGCGAAAGAGGGTCGCAGCGATCTTCCAATTAGTTCCCGCTGTGTACACTTACACCTCGTTATCCTACCATTCTTCGCAGTTCAATCTCTCAACAAACTACGAAGGACGAACTCATTTTCGAATACGATTAATCGTCGCTGATGGAAATGAACTGAGAATTACATTTCATTCCTTTTTTTTTTGCTTTCCACTTATATATTTTTTTCTTCATTTAATAAATTATAATATTATAGACAAAAAAAAATGAATTTGTCGTAATTGATACTATGATGACTTATGTCAATTGGTGGATTGCAAAATAATTAAGATTCTAAAAGAGTTACACATATTTGTGTTATAGTAAAGAAAACAAATCTATGTAATAAATATTTATCTGAAACGTTGAGAAATATAAATTTTTGGCTGCAATGCATTTTGCATTATTTATTTCGTTGCTAGGCAAAACAGAGTATATAAGAGTGATCTGGACATACGAAAAGCATTGCAAAACGATTGTCAGACGCTCAGAAAGCAATATGTTTAAACTGGTAAGTAAGCAAATACATTGATTGAATATAACAACTATTTTTTTTTTGTAATTTCAGATGATTATGTTGGTTGCTGTTATGTCTTTGATCGCATTTGCTGTTGCTGCGCCTAAAGCTCATCCGCAGCCCCAACCTCAATATCTTGCTGTTGCTCCTGGTTACCCGGCCGTTGGTTACTATGATACATATTATGGTTAATTACACACCGAAATTGGGATATCGTTTATTTGAATTTATGTATAAATGACTTTACACATGTATAATAAAATATATTAGCATTCATTTTCATTTCTTCTTCGTCTTTTATATTAATATCGATATTAATAACGAATATGTTTTTCAGCATATCCGTTCGAATTGTGCAATTCACTTGAATAGTTATTCTTTAATTGAAAAAAAAAAAATAAAAATGGTACATTTTCAACAATGACATTTTTGACAGTTCGAAACAGCCGCTGACAGTTGAAATTAATCAGTGGCTTGTAGAAAAGGAAAAACTTTCATTTTTAATTTGTGTATTTTATGATCGTGGTTGTCGAGTAATTTAATAGAACTTGAAGACTTAAAAAAAATAGACATCTGTCAATTTTATTATTGTTTAATTTGAATAAAATATAAAAATAGTGCATTTTCAGCATTGGGATTTTTGACAGCTCGTAACAGATGATCAAATGACAGTTCAAAGTTGTCAATAGGCTCATTGGAAAGACGAAACTTTCTTCTTTAATTTGCGTATTTGATAATTTAATAAAACGTAAACATAAAAAAATAGTCATTTCTTGGTAACTTTTTTATGTAACTTTTGTTACATAATTTATATAATAGTGCAGTCCTTATGAAATCTCAAAAAAAAATAATCTGATCACAAACTAAGAGATGACAACATAGTTCAAATGGTTTCAACTTAAGGAATTATTCTATTTGAGTATATTGGTGTAACATCAAAAATAAAATATAATTTTTCTAAATAAAAATAATATTATAATTTGATATGCATAATTCATATTTTTATGTAGTTTACGTAATACTTATTAAATTTTACAAGTCAACATTAAAAATAAGTTTTTATAGTATTTGAAAAAACTAGATCTGAATTTAGTAAAATTAATTATATTATTTATTATTATTTAACAACTGATTTTTCATCATGAAATTGTGTACAAAACAGATTTTTTTGTAATAATTCAATTTTATACTGTGCAAATTAATATATTTTTATTTTAAATTTATAATACAAGTGCGAAGTCAGATATACATATTATTTGGGAATATGAAGAGGTTCATCCATAATAAGTTCCATAGTAACCAACAGCTGGGTAACCAGGGGCGACTGCATAATACTGAGGTCTTGGTTGTGGCAACGGATCAGGATTTGGAGCGGCAACTGTCAATGCGATCAAACACATAACAACGACGAACAAAGCCACCTACAAATAAATAAATGTAAACAAAAATCAAGTTGTCAATGTCAGTGACGTACCAATTTAAACATTTTGCTTTACGTTAGTCGACACGAACGTTTTACGAAGAAGTTTCTTAAACTGTGATGCTTTCTGGATGCTCAATGTTCTCTTATATACTGTTCGGACAAGTGCCACATAAATTATGCATAACGTATTGCAATTCTGATTATTGTTTTATTTAAACAGAGCTGGTCTATATATAAAAGTGATCATCATTGTCCAAATGTCCTTATAAAACAGGTTAAATATTAGTTTCAATATATTTTATGCAATATTTATATTGATTTGTAACAGAATTATGTAATTTTTTATTAGAGAAATAACGTATTTAAATGAGTATCATCGATCTAAGAAAAAAATGATATAATTCATTATTAATATACAAATACTTGCAAGAATTCTGCTCAATACATGTTTCTAAATTTACTTGTTAGTGCAATAGTATCATTTTTTAAGAGCTTTTTTTCATTTTCTGGCAATGAACCACAACATTTTCTCGATTGAATACTGGCGAGAATTTCTTGAATTTCATGGGAAAATATTTTTGTCTAAGAATATAATTACATAAGAAGAATTAAAAAAAAAACATGTTCATTTTGTATTATAAATGTATATTTTATTTAAAATTAAAATTATATAATAAAAAAGAGTCATTTACAATATATATATATATAATCCTTACGCAGAGTTTAATTGTTATTGTTATTCTCTGTTGGAGTATTAACGATCTTTTTAGTACTTTTTGAACTTTTACGATTCAAAACATAAACATTTTTGCTTGTATTGGCATTGGAAGTGGCTCCACCGTTATTTCTGAAAGAATAATCGTTGAACACTTTGGGTGCTGCATTCGCACGTTTTTTATATATTTTCCTGCTTCTCGATGAGATTGGTTCAAAAGATGGGCGATCAGTTGTCGACAATCCAGGTTTATTTGTCCTCTTGTGTTTCACCTGGATCGGCCTACCTCTTAGCATAACTCCACTCATTTTGATGGCCTTCTCCACTGACGATGACACATCGAATTCAATGTATGCGAAACCTTTAGGTTTTCCATTAATCGCATTTAATGGAATGGAAACGCGTTTGATTGTTCCGCATGCAGAGAACATTTTTTCGAGTGACTGCGCGTTCGTTCCATTATCTACGTTTCCAACAAACACACTTCTGCTATCTGCTTCAATCTTCTTTCGGTTGTTCTCATCCACAGGTTCAGTTGATTTTTTCATTAGATTCTTGTCCTCTTTCAATAGCTTCAGATTCTCCAAACTTTTTTCAACATCATCTGCAGATACATTATCCTCATCACTAGATTCACCTGGACCTTTATTTTTCATCAGAATACTAATCAAGCTTCTCGCACACAGCTTCGAATTGATTTTGATATCTTTTACAATACCGTTAGACACAGTTTTTCTAATAGCTTCAATGATCTCGCTACTACGTTTATTTACAACCTTACGTTTCTCTTTCTTCGTCTGGCGTTTCTTCATGTTATCGTAAGGCAACTTGAGGATTTTTGTGCTTTTAACTACCTTCTTTTTAGAATTACTTTTTGTATTATCTTTGATATTCTTTTCCATGTTCTCATTGAGGCGTTTATCTGAAAATATATCTTTAAGCAATTGCTTACCATCTTTCACCAGGACTTTCTTCGGGTCTCCAATAGACATCTTTTGGAAGTTGGCCGTCATTTCCTCAAGTTCAAGAGTTTCACTTTTATTAACTCTTTCCAAAACAGCATTTTTGTTGCTGGATTTCCTGCATACTTCAATTTCAGACATCATGTTTAATGCATCGAGTTTGTTTCTCGAAAGAAATAATGTTGTCCTACTGAAAACTAGTCAAGAACTGATACTTTACATACATTTCAACCGGTCGGTATGTATACAGATTTAATAGTAAACAGGGTATATAGGATACCAAGTACTAGACTTTCAATTTTACTGGGAGTGCAATAAAATCAGGTAAATTTTCCTCTTCTCCTCATAAACTTATAATTCTGAAAATTTTAATTAAAATGAAATTAATAATTCCTGAAATAGAAAGCAAATGATTGAGGTATATCATGTAAACCAGTGTTTCTCAGCCTTTTTCACGTCACAACATATATCACAAACCTGGATACATATGTGACTATCAATACACCTATTGGGAAGCACTGATATAATCAATACATTTAAACAAAATTTACATAAATTCCTGTTTAAACTTAAATGATGTTAAATTTTAAGTGTTATAACTTTAAATTCATAATAATTTAAATTAAATTGGTTGAGAATCGCTGGTTCACTATCTAAAATGTTATTAGAATAAAGTTATATTGAAAACAATATAATTATCAATTTAATTTTACGACTCTAAATACGAAACTAATTTTATGATATTTATTGACTTGAAAACATAAACATGTTGATAGAAAATCGTGTCTGTTAAGTGAATTGAAAAAAAAAACATGAAAACTGAAATTAGTTCTAAAGTTTAAGTTAATTCACAAAATCCACAGTTTATTTCATTCAATGGCTTCAAGAAGTGAGATCATTAATTTTTTTTGGGACAAATATTATTAAGATTTTATCCAAATTAATAAAATAGATATCATAGCTTTAAAAAAATCAATTCATAAATATCTTCAAGAATCTGAATATGTGACGTTGGCATGTCTCTATATACTAAAAACGCAAATTTTGTGAAGAACGAATAATTTGATCATTTTATTCTCTAAAAACGATTAACCCAGCTTGGTAGTTAGTGAGTTTATTATATTTTTGGAAAGAAAAAAAAAAGAATCCATGTGAGTAATAGAAAATAAGAAAATAAGTAATAAACATTATTTTTCTCTATTTTTTTTTGTGAAAATTAAAACGGTTTTGTAGAAAACTTGAAATTCGAAAACCGGTTTTATATAAATAAATCCTGGTATTAAGACAATAAACAAGTGAATATATTAAATAGAAAATATTACAAAACTGCATTAAGATGCACAACAAATATGTAACAAAAAATTCGTAATGTATATGTGCATACATTTTGACTGCAATGCGCTATACATTATTTATATTTAACAAAATTAACAGTATATAAGAGTAATCCGAAGATGCAGAAAACATCACAGTTCTAAAAAAACGTCTTCGCAAAATGTTCAATTTGGTGAGTGCTTCAATTATTTGAGACTTTAAAACCTATTTATTTTGCATTTTTAGGTGGTTCTATTTGTTGCTGTCATGTGTTTGATCGCATTGACAGTTGCTGCTCCGAAAGCCAATCCTCTGCCGCAACCACAGCCTCAATATTATGCCGTTGCTCCTGGTTACCCAGCTGTTGGTTACTACGGAACTTATTATGGTTAAATACGTTTTTCCACTAAAACAATGGAATAACTATGATTGACTTAGCATATGTATCTTAATCAAAATATAAATAAACTAATTTAGCATGAAAAAATAACTTTATTATGTATTATTTTCTCAATAATAAAATTCCTCGGATTCTTTAATTTGAAAAACTTAATCAATAGTTTCTAATCGATATAGCCTTTGGGTTTATCTCAATATTTGCCATTATTATTATATAACTTCTTCGTTAATTAATAATTTTTCAATAAATCTTTTATATTTTTGCTTTCAATAAAATATTTACTTTTTCGTTAAGTTTATTTTGTAATAGAGAAAGTAAACGTGTACAGTTTAGATTTTTCTTTTGTAATAATATTTCTCATTGAGAATGAATTTATGGAAGAACACAGTATGTAATATCTTCATATAAATAATATACATCAGGCTTAAGATGGTCCTTGGGGTTCTTCGCTGAAGGCAACGATAAATATTAATAGAGAACGGTTAATTGGAATCTCGTCACAATACAGGAATTATTGATGCGACATGTCCAAGGTGAATATTATGCACTAAAAATACATTCGTTATTAACTGGGAAGAGCTTAGCAGGGCTTTCGAAGGACATCATAATGTGTGGCTGCAGAAGACGATGGAAGGTACATTATTTCAATTCCATCGGATGTGACCCAATTCTAAAACACGCCGATGATGCACAATTGTGTTTTACGCTTTGATTACGTATCGGATTTATTCGCAAATCTATAAATAATCTATAGATTCTATAGATTATTGATAATGATTGCATGTGTTTATAATATAAAAGAATAAAGCAATTTGACGTGAGCTGTCAGAACCGAAACCCCTATGTAAAAACGTGTTTTGGTAACCCAAGTAACGCCTCTACAAAACTTACGGCAAAGTTTAATAACACAAAAAAAAAAGATTCATAATCTCGTTTTTTCAGCATAGACTTAAAATATAAAAATTAATGAATTGTTTGTTTTAAAAAAACATAAAAATGATGACACAAAATCGTCTCTGTTACGTGATGTGAAAGAAATAAAAACTGAAATTAGTTCTCCGATTTTAGAAATACTCCTTAATTTACAAAATTGACCAAACGTTTGCACAAAGACTGGCTTCAAAAAGTAAGATCATTATGTTTTTTGGACCAATATTATCATAATTGTATCAAAATTATTAAGTAGAAATTTAGATTCATTATTTAAAATCATTTTTCTATCAAACTGCGATTTTTACAAAATCCAATTGGCTAAATTTTTGGTAATTGTCTTGCACTACGAAAAATTTCAATCCATATAGTATGATTCCTGTTAAATTACGTAATTATCATACGTGGTAATTCTGCATTTTCAGTAACGTCACTTTTGACATCTTGTAGCAGACGACCTTATAACGGCAGAAAGCTCATAAAAAAGGTGAGACTTTCAGCTTTAATTTGAGTATAAGATGATGTAATTAGTCGCAGCGGTTCTGCATAAATTCACTAAAACTAAAGACATCGAATAGCGTCGTTATTCAGTTACGTAATGATCAGTGCGTAACTTTTCTTGCATAATACATTGCGTAAGGGTGTCGTCCTTCCAAAGACAATTACGTAACTTTTGAAAAAATAATAAAAAAAAAACTATACGGGCATTTGCAGCAACAGCTTGTTGCAGACGAACGGATAACAGCAGAAAGTTGTACGTGAACTTGTTGGAAAGGTGAGACTTTCAGCTTCACTTTGAGCTTGTAATTAGCAATTAGGTTGAGGAGTTATCGAGTAATTAAGTTGAAAAACGTCGATTTTCGATTACATAATGAACATTTTTTAACTTATAATTAATTATGAAGAACAAACACGTAAAATAAAAATTCATCGGAACGTAACGTTTAAATCAGATGACAGATAATATTTATATTGACAGTGACAGCTACATTTGTTGTTTATGCAACAAAGATAAATTAACTGAAAGCTAACGAAGGATGTAAAAAATGCTAAAAGAGTTGGGTTAGCGTATTTTTTTATTGTGAATAAAAATTCTTCTATTTTTAGATAAAAATACAGAAAAATGATACAAATATGTTTAAAACAAACGTAAGCACAGCTTACATATTCTTATGTACAAAATTTATATTTTTTTTGTTACTATTTTGATTAAATAGAATTATGTTTATATAATTGCACGTACATCATAAAAATTACAAAAAAAAACTGAAAATTTCAAATAAATTTTACTGAAATCAGTCTCATTGTAATCGATACATTGCATATAAATTACTATATAATAATACTGTTAGATTTTCATCTACAAGATGATTATCAAATCTATTTAATATCATAGAGTGCAGTGTAATTTATATGTTTCAACAGTACTGAATGACGTTCGAAGATAATTGATTCATTCATTTGTGCAGTGAGCGTCATACGAAACCGTGATGTAGTAGGCTGTAATCCTCATTGTAACCCAGTTTCCCTAGGGATGCCAAGGATCCAGACGGCCCCGGCAGAAAATAAATACACTCATCCAGAACAATGCACTCTCCTCATCTCGGTGAAGATGAAACAAAAAAACGAATTCGAAGGAATCAAAGGATGAACAAAACTAAGATCTTCAAAGTCCCAATATCGTCTTTTCCACTTCTCAGTACCTTTATATTTTGCACAGTGTGATTTTAATTAGTGCACTATAGATAATTACAAAATAAACTAAATTTTAATTGAACAAAATGCAAATAAGTTTCAAAAAATGTTTACATAATAAATGGGCGACTCTGTTTTATTTTTAAGCCGTTTAAAAGTTTTAGATTAGTCCGGTTTCAAACGGACTATGTGAAGTATTGCAGTATGAAGTATTCGAAAAAATAGATTAAATTACATTTGAATCAACTGTCAGACATAATCAATATACATATTTCGGTTGTCATAGCAATACTTGTTTAAATAGCCAACTATGGCTAGATGCTGAATGCTGGATTAGTCTTCGGGTACCGTAAAGCGGTTTTTTAAATAGTATATTATACCCAACTTAATGGCGACGAACAAGATAAAACCGACAAAGTAACATAACTGTAACCAAGTAAATAGTTATAGAATAATAAATGTATCATGTAAAAACTTACAGATTTGCACACGTCCATTTCTGCGTAGATCTTGTTCCACAAGAAGTTTCAATTCGATAAATGTTATTTTTCGAGTCACCTATTCGTTTTATAACTCGCTTCAAAATTCTATGAATAATTCATGGCGCATCTTATGTCAGCAATATTTACAACGTTCAAGGTCTTCACCGAAATATTTTATTAGCAATGTTTGCCGTTAAAGAAATTATATTAAAATACAAATTAACAGATTCAAAATGTACATTCAAATAACAATTTTTAAATTATTTATATTAACATTTATATAAATTGGAATTATTATAGATACATTCAATTTTTTCTATTGA